AAACCTAAACTAGAGATTATAATGTTAATGAAGGAAGAAGACAGAGAACAGAACCCAAAGCTCGAGGACATGTATTCTAGCTCCCAGCTGCACCCTGGCCTGATTCTCCAGGATTTCTAAAGAGAGTTATTCTGCATATTCCTGCATATCTATAGGAAGATGCAGAAGCTCGATCTTTGAAGAAATCTTTCACAGAATCAAGCTCCTGGGGGAGCACATTGAAGTGAACTGCCATGTCTGAGCATGGGGTGCTTATCTCTGCATTTCCCCCTTTCTAATTATTGGCTTGAACTGCTGCCATAGCCATAAACACAGCATTTTGCTCACTTGTTTTCTTTACCTATAAAAGTTTTTTTATGATCCAGTAGAACTCAAATTCAATTAGGCAAAACAAGAACAGAGAGTCAGCGGAAGTTCCAAATAAAGTATAAATTTTATCTGTGGAATTTAGTTGAGCAATTCCTTCAGATATACCTTTTAAAATTTCATCTCAATTAATTTGTTTTAACTTTTGCTCAAAAGTACTATATTCTTGATGTTATAACTCAATTGCATCAGCAGTTAAATTTTCATGGTTTAGCAAATGTTTTTTGACTTTACTCCAAGGAAATAATGTTTCATTATGAAAAACAGGGGTTACACAAAAAGAAGAAACATTCCAATCACATTTCAATTTGACTTTTTTTCTAAACTATACAATTGGTCACCTAACAAAATTACTGTTTGTTCTAAATCAGCTAATTCATTATGTATTTCAGTGTCAATTTGTTTTTGAGATACCCATAGTCTCTCAGCATTATAATGCCATTGAGATACAAATTTCTCAGTCTTTACAGATTCTGTGAGAGCTACTCCTGCAACCGCAGCTTCTGCAGTGATAGCTATAAGTCCAAGAACTCAAATTTTTAGAAGGCCGATGAATCTCTTCATTCTCTTTGTCAGCTTCTGGGCTGGACTTGTTAGGATGGAAATGGCTGGAGACTCCTCCCATGGTCTCATCATCTTCACTGGAAGCCAAACACTGGTTCTGGCTCGGAGTAGATAAATTCTATTTTTGGAAAAAATAAATCTCATAGATATATTAAGGCATGTGAACATTTGACATTTGCCTGGACAATGTATTTCTCTAGTATCTTTATTCCAGGTAATATTTCCAACTAGCCAAACATAAGGAAGTTTTACACAGGCGTAAGTAAAATGGGCTTCTTGCCACTTGAAATGAAAGGTATGCTGAAACTGATATCCAGATTTATGTGTATGCACACCTTTCCATGCATGTAATCCAAATAAAGCTGCTCCAATTTTCCATAAATCAGGCTGTGATGGATAGCCATAAATACCTGGAGCAGGTGGTGCAAAACCACTTTCTCTCCACAAAAGCTCTTTTGATGAGGAGTAAATTATATCAGTGGAATTTCTATAATGATTAAGATGACTAGAATTAGATTTTTTCATCACATAAGCTAAAGGTCTCCAGTCAGTGATAGATCCAAATTTAGTTTGTCTCAAAGCATAAATAAGAGCCTTGACATTTTGACCAGTGAATCCAATCAGTAATATCAGTAAACACATGTAACTTGCATTGAGGCAAATGAGGCAATAATGCATGTTATTTTAAAATTAATTTAGTAAAAGTCATTGTAGTTAGTAAATACATTTCATGATGACCAGAATTATTTCTTAAACTAACCCACTGTTGTAAGCTAAAAGATAAGCAAGGAGGTTCCGGGCCTAAACATATAGGTGGTCCCGTGACTCCAGTGGAATAATTGGAGAGGACTGTCCTCTCTTCTTCTGGCTTAAAGGGACCTCGATCATCATATGGTCCAGGGAGCCATGAACTCTCATTCACATAGATAGAAACAAAGGATTAAAACCATGAGACTCCTTTTAACAATGGTGGATTAGGAATATAACTCCAATAAGTATAATTTTGTTGTGCACTTACCTGTATGTTAATTATGGCTATCATTGCAAGAAACAAGGCTCGAGGGGGTCACTGGTTGATTGCTCACCATCACAGTTGTTTTTGCTTCCTGGCATAGTTGAGAAATCCCTCTCCAAGTTACTGGGGGAGGAGAGTGCCGTTTCTTTTGCACTCTCCAACTGGATCTGGGAATTAGTTGTTTTCTCTGTTCTTTCAGTGACAGAGAGAACATCCACACAGTGATTCCTGTGGAGATAAGAACGTACCCTCTACCCCAACACACTATTACAGCTGGAAGCCATTCATATTTTATTATGTCTTTGTAATACATAGGCTGGTTAATGGCTGGTGGTATTGTTTTTACCCAAAATTTATCAGAAGGAGCTTTTCCTTCATTATTCAAATTTAAAAAATTTAAAGTAAAAAGAGCTGAGTGTATTCTATTGCAGGGAGTAGCATTATATCCAATTCCCCCTTTCTGTTTAAAAAGTATATTTTTTAAAGTTCTATTTTGTTTTTCAATGATGTTGGATTGTGGTTCTTGAGAGCAGTGGCCATATGGGCCCCGATCTGATCTCCTATAAGAGCAGCTTGGAAAGCGGAAGTGCCAATATTTTTACAAGCTGTAATAAATTTCTCAATTGAGGCATTTTTCTCATGTCTAATGGGTGCCAATACATGCTGGCAATCTTCATTAGAATTTTCAAAAGCCAAAGATAACAATAATATAATTTGTGCCTCAGGTCCAGGTATAGCTCGCCTGATAGCATTGTGAAGTGTAGCAAGAAATTCAGCGTATGGCTCAGTAGGACCTTAAATAATTTTTGTAAAATATTTTCCTTCTCCAGGGTCATCAAGTTGGGCCCAG